TCGTCCAACTCGTCCACGACTATCTTGGCCACATCAGATGTGGAAGTGGAACCATTCGCGGTCTGGAACACGATCTCGTCGTCATCTTTCACGATGTCGACACCCAGGCTCTTCGCCTTGGCTCTTCCGATGAGATCATGACCACATCCGGTGTCCATCAACCATTTCACCCGTTTGCTGATGCACGTTGACATGGCGAAAACGTTCTTCGGCATACCATGCTGTTTCTTCCAGTCGACAGCCGATTCCTTGATCTCGTCCTTGTTCCGATCATACTCGAACATTATGCTGCTCTCCTTGGTCACCGGGAAGTAGTGCCTCTTGTATACATCATCCACCACTTCTCTCAGTATCTTCGCACGTATCAATGATCGTTGGACTTGGTAGGCTGATAATTCACGATGATCACTGCTTTTGAACTTCTTCTCGTCGACGTACACGTACTGATAAGGCTCATTCTCATTGTCCTCATAACCGTACCATTCTCCTTTTCGTTCCCATTGCCTTCTCTCGTCTTCGAGGTAGGTGATCTCCCCATTCTCGTCGACGTCGAGCACTTCCTTGAACCACACCATTTTCTCGGGGATCTCGGACTCGCCAGACCATCTCGATGATTCGCTCATCACGTCGTCATCGTGCTCGTGGTAGATAGTCTCGGCTTCGTCCGGTTCGACATGATCAACGTCCTTCTTGAAGCTTACCTTCCCCGCAGGAGCCGATTGCTTCAGGACTATCGCAGGCATCGCGATGGCCCTCCTCACAATGGCAGGCGCTGCGGCTTTGGCGGCAGCCTTCGACTTGGCTTGTGCCTTGTCATTTGACGTTGCTGGAGCTGAATTGTTCTTGATGAGCTCATGCCTGTACTTACAAGCGCTTCCCCTATCGCACTTCCCCTTCTGAAACGCGAAGCATGCTCCATCATCTCTCTTTGGTGACGATGATCTGGACTTGGATTTGCCCTTTCCTTTCCCCTTGGACATGCTCTCCAACTTGTGCTCCGTCTTCTTGCTGTGGGAAAAAGTGCATTCATTTCCTTTCACGCACCCCTTCGCCGATTTGAAGTGGTACCAACAGGGGTTATCCTTGCTTCCGCCCGGACTCTTGCCTCTGTCGCTGGCACCGTCGGACTTGCCGTTCTTGCCAGCGTGGCCCTTTGCCTTGGCTTTTGGGAGCACAGGAGCGGCATCAGGTCCACCGGGTTTCCCCTTTCTGCCCTTGCCACCCTGGTTCTCCTGTTTGCCAGTTGCTGGAGCCGCATCCTTCCCGCCTGACTTCATCATCGACTTGACCGATTTCTCCTTCATGTCGAGCATCAGGTCTTCCCGATCTGCCTTGATCTGATAGTCGATCAACGCCAATAAGAATTCATACGTCTTCTGAGGATGCTTGTCCGGTAGTCTATGGTAGGCATTGAGGCCGAACTCCATCTTCTTGCTCCCTTTGATCTTCCTGTAAAGGATGTCTCTGAGAGCCAGCTTACTGGGTCTGTCCTCGCTCCTCATCTTCAGCAGCAAATCATACCATTTGTTCCTGAACATGACCAAGTTCTTGTCGCCAGGAAAGTCAAGGTTGAATAAGTGCTCGATGTGGTAGACAAGGTCCGTTCTATCGGAAGTTCTGAATGATTGCATAACTAATGCCACCAACTCTCGTCCCTTCACGATCACCCCTTGTTGATGTCGTAGTTCAGAGTGTCGTGTAGCATCGAGGTATACGTCCTTGGCTTCGTCAGGTGCTTGTTTCAGCATGTTCTGCATGCCCATGGCCATCTTAATATCTATCGTAGCAAATCTGTCGCCACCTGAATCGCTAAGCAAATCCAGGTCTGGGTTCAACCCAAGAGCCTGCTCCAGCCATTTCGTCCATGCGTCGGTATCTGGATCTGCACATGCGCTCAGAACATTCATCAGCAGTTGCATCTTCCAGGTGTCAAGTTGATGGATCTTTGGCCAGGCCGGAATAGATACTCTCTCGGCCTCTTTCCTCGAGATTCTCGGTCGATCATTCTTGATCTCTCGGTTATCTCTCGATCTCCTTCGTCTCCTCCGTGTCCGATCGTCTTCTTCCTCTTCTTCTTCCTCGTCTTCCTCATCTCCTTCGTCGTCGTCATCCTCATCATCGGGTGGATCATCCGGAGGTCCTCCTCCGCCACCAGCGAGGCTCAACTGACGTCGACCCGCTCCCTGCCCATTCCCATTGGGCGGGAATCCACCGTAATCCAATGGGGGTGTAGTACCGTTGTTTCCCCCTCCATCACCACCACCAGTCGTAGTAGTGGATTGTGGGACATGCCCAACAACCCCTTGCATCTGGGATAGGTGTACATCGATCATTGGATCACCGAAAGACGGAAAGAGGATCGAACCTGGCATCAGCGACGAATTAGGGATTTGCTTCGAAGACGATGACGGGATCAACCCAGCCACCTTCTTGTCTATCCTACTTGAATTAGCCTGGGTTCCTCCCTCAGCGCGTTTCACTACTGCTCGTTCACGATGTCCATCCTTGCTGCTGGAGGCTTCCTGCATCTCCAGCTTCTTGTGTGCACGTAGTTCCTCGTTGTCAGCATCGAGTTGGCGCACAAAACTCTCTTCTTGCTTGAGCGTCGCCTCTCTTTCCTTCAGTTGTCCCTGAAGCTCATGCATCTCCTCGAGGTACTCATCGTACATTCCCTTAGCTGTCAATCTCCAGTACTCAGCCTCCTTCGACTTCTCGTCCATCGTGCACCGTTCCTCTTGTTTCTCTTCTTTGACCTGGGCTAACTCCAAGATCGCATCCTGACGATGACCACCTTCGACAGCAATCATCTGGTCCTTCATCGACACGTCGGACTCATACTGTTTGACGATCTCTTCCTTTTCGCGAAGCAAGCAATCTGCTCTCTTCGATTCCTGTCCCGCAAATACTGTAACGTCATTCAGCCTCGTCATCAGCTGTTCCCTGGAGTCCTCCAAAGAGTACGTCTCGGGGCGCTTGACGAGTGCATGCTCCAACTGTGATTTCAGACTTTGGACCATCTCCTCCTCGTTGAACTTCTCGATAGATGTAGAAGATTCTATGCCTCTGATCTGTTGCTGATAAGCTGATATCTGTTGTGAAGCCTCACGGTGTATCTGATTTGCACGTATAGCTGATTCCTGCGCGGCCGACTTCTCGCTTGCCATGTAGGATTTCATCAATGCAATCTCCCGCTTCTGCTCCATGATAGTTCCTTCAGCTTGCCTCATCTGTTGCATCATAATATTCGACTCCATGTCTTTCTTCTCCCCGTACTGAAATGCGTTCATTTCCACCTTGCGCATCTGTTGGGCTTCTTCCTCAAACTTGCGCCATGCCTCAGCCATGTGGTGTTGGTGGTGACTCACTAGATGTCCCGACTGCTTGCTGGCAATCTCGCATCGTCTTTCCAGCTCCTGGATCCGGATGGTGCTTCCATAGTCTTCTTGGTTAAGATTCGCCATTGCTGCCGACATCTCATCAAGTGTCTTCTGATATTCCCCGATCTCCACCTCCATCTTATTCCTCTCTTTGATCACGGCGCGAAAATCTGCACTGGTGGGTGATTTTGACCCCCCCCCCTTCGATGTTGATCTCACGCCCTTCTGCGACGTCCGTGGTGTCGCAGGCGAAGATGATGATCTTCTCGGTGGGGATTCTCTTTTCTTCGACTCCTGATGAACATCGATCTGCTTCCATGATCTTGTGGGAGTAGATATGTCGCTGAATAGCGCGGAACCTCCGCTCCCAGGTTCATCCTGTGAATCTGCAATCATATCCATCACCGCAGGAAGAGCCATCAATCCATTGGATCCCTCTGAGCTGCTGTTCCCAAAAGTTGCAGTACTTGGGCTCGCCGAAGACGCCATTGTACTGTGTATGTTATCGTTCCTTTATTGTCCCTGTACCCGCAATAAACCAGCTGTCTCCCAGTCCAGTGTAGAGCTTGTAGTTACGGCTGATAACCTGTCAAGAGACGGCAAGGTGACGTCCCGTGGGACGCTGTGCACCGAACCCTCAAGCTTCAATACCAACCACGTAGAAAGGTGTATACGGACGTTGCCGTTATAGCCGAACCCGTGTAAACGTTGTAAGGAAGAAGGAATGATAATCACAGCAGTAGTCCTGACCCTGCGGCGCAAGCGGTTGTTTTGCTCTTTGTGCCAATCACGGAGATCCGCAGTCACACATCGGATCTTGAACCTCAAATGTGTCTTGAGCCAGATGGCGATCAATGGAACTTGGGAAGCAACACCAACAAGGACCTCAGAACTGCTACCCAATTTCGGCACGGGGCCTAGAGGGTTTTAACAATATAGAACTAGCCAGCACTGCTCTAAATCTAGAGATCTGGCCATTTGGCTGCCCTCCAAGGCTCAGCTCTGTCCCGGGAAGGATTCTGTTTTCTTTTTAAAAAAATCAGGATTTGGGCTTGGCCCGGTCGCTGATAAATTCTTTGTGTGGGATCATGTAAAACTAGCCAGCTCTGCTCCAAATCTAGAGATCTGGCCATTTGGCTGCCTTCCAAGGCTTAGCTATGTCCCGGGAAGGCGATCCTGTCCTGTGAGAGGGGCCAGGCCTGTTTGACGATCCTCAGGCCCAGCCTAAACAGAAGACCCACCCAAGCAAGGCCCAGCCCAGCCCAGCCCAGGCAGGCCGGTTGTCAACCAGTTGGCCAAAAAAAATCCACCCTCGCCTATGCCTGTTGGTCCAGGATCCTGTCTGGAGGGCCTGGAAAAGTCCTGGAAAGGCCCAAGAGGGCCTGGAAATTCTCAAGCCTCCAGCTGCAAATGCGCTGAAAATCGCGAAGCCGAAGAAAAGCTTTTGTCACGAAAAGCATGACCTCCCGCTGGCCAGGCCGCCCGCTCCACGACTAGCGCCAGGACTTCTTGTTGCTTGGCGTTCAGGTTGGGCCGCTTGGCTTCCAGCCACCCGAGCTGGCCTGCCTTTGTCACAAGCGGGCGGACCGCGCTCACTCCCGGGCCCTCCTTTTGCATTGGCGCCTCCCTTGCTGGCTTTCTCCCCCTTGGCACGGGAGGCCTTGGCCGCCTCCTCTAGCTCGTCGTGGTCTTCCACGGCCGGCTTGGCCGCCATGTCGGCGTAGTGTTGGGCGAAGTTCGGGTCGCCCTCGCGGGACGCGGCCGACCCGCCCCAGACTTCTTTGGACAGCTGGGACATCTGTTCCGCGCGGGCGATTCGCTGCGCCTTGGCGGTCGCGTCCTCTGGCGTCTCTGCCTCGGCCTCTTCTTCCTCTTCTTCCCCAGCTTCGCCTGGCTGCGCGGCGCCTTTAATGCGCGTGGCTTGCGCCGCCATGAGGTCTTCTTCCTCGAGCTCCATCGGTTCGTCTTCGAACTCGTTCACGCTGTTTTACCGCGGCTTTCGCTCTTTCTTTCTTTTTCCTTCTTGGTTCTCTTTTCTCTTTATTTCCTTTTTTTTCTTGACTGTGCGCGCGCGTGTGTATGCGCGATTGCGCGCGCGCAGTCGCAACCAACGCTCAAGACGCCACTGAGTCTGTAAACACGTCAAAGAAACGGCAGCAGCAAACCCCTGAGCGACAACTGTTCGCGGCATCCAGATAATGTCAGCAACATTCTCACACAGTAAAATTGAGGCGGCGCAGTAAAAAAGGAAAACACTTTCTGCCGAATCCTCGAAATGTCTAATGTTGGATTCTCCAAGCCTCATAATTTGGAGCCTGGAGTCCAACATATCCAAGTACACATTCCTTTCCAAATACGATTTTGATCCGAATTGAATTTGCGTATTGAATAGAATTTAGTAAGCACATAGTTCACCACCATTCATAATTCGCCATAATGTCTATATCAGATCAGAATTTGAGCAGGAATACCTCTCCAAATAAGGAAAATATCATTGCGGTAGAATCCAAATATACTTTAATGCAGACAAATTCAATTAGCTTTTGAACATAATAATTTAATCAAGAATCCATCCCCAAATACAACTTGAATTGGAATATAGCTTATTCTGCAAATAAATCACTTGGCCTTTGCAAACAAATTTTAATAGTAACTCATTCCCAAATATGATTTAGCTTAAATGTGGCTAAACAAATAAAGGGCACATATCCCCAGACTCCCAAACTTGGTCTGGAGATGTTTGGCATGTGCAGGTCTCAGAGCTTTCATTTTCAGGAGATTTTATGCTTTTGGGTCTGTGCAGGTTACAGAGCTCAACGCTGCCAAAAACGACATGTTTTCAATGTTTTTTCCCTAGCGTGCTCAAAACCGCTGTAAAAACCAGTGTTTTCCAACAAAGCCAGACTTGAATCCGAAAACGGAATCCGTTTTCGCTTTGCTGCCTTTCAAGCCTCAAAGAACCAGACATCTGCTGTCATATAGAACCTAAAAACCAACAAAAACACTGTATTTTACAGTGTTTTCAGGCATTTGCAAGAAAGAGGCACACGTAGCAGAGTTGGCACCTTCAACTAGAAGAAGGCAAAGGTAGGCCCTGGGGGGGGGGGGGTGACCATATACATATACATACATTTGAAAATTTATATTTTATATATATATATACACACGCACACGCGCGTCGTTATCTTTTTTTTGCGCGCGATCGACGCGTGTCTAAGTCAATCACACAAACGCGCGCGCAACTATGCACTCATATCTCAAAAATCTCAAACACACAAAAACAATTAGGACGCGTCGCGTATTACATAGCGGGCCGCGCGCGTAAATGTCGCGACGGATATCCGGAGACGAGGTTCAAATCGCAACCCGACCGCGCGACAAGGCGCTGACGAAAGCGAGGCTTAATGGCCGCCTCCACAATATTCGATCTATAACCGAGCCATTTCCGAAAACCCGTTGCGAAGGTCTTGAACTAGCAAGCGCGTCGCGATTCGCCACGCGTTGAGGCGTTTGCCTATACGTGATAACTACGAAAACGGATCGTCGCGATCGCGTCGTTTTTTAGTCATATTTATTTTCAAATGATTGCAACTCGTTTAATTATTGATATAGTTATTTTTTATTTTCTCGCTGAGCTGCGCTGTGACACTTCACGCGTGTCGCGCCCTTTGACGAACCTGTAAGCGCGTCCGCCAAAGGGCGCGTCCGCGTCTGTATTGCGATTCGTTTGAAACACGCCAGCTGAACAAACGCGCAAGAGGTTAGATCATTGTTAGTCTAAAAAGGGCCGAACACGCAGCAAACTGTTTCAATTATGGCGCGTTTCAAACTAGCCGCGGCTGCTGTGCCTCTTCCGACTTCGGAGGAGCCTTCAGCACGCCCACTTTGACTCGAAGCTTTCGCTTCAAGTCCTTCTCCAGCCATTTTTTGTATTTGGCTATAATGCCGCGGGCCTCGTACTGTGAGAGGGCCACTTTGCCCTCTACGCAGTCCTCCGCGGTCTTCTTCGCATGTGCCTAAGTTTGACACTGCAAATCTGTCACTCGCGTTTTAAAACCCTGAAGGGCCCTGACAAAACCAGCCGGCGCGTCCGACTCGGGCAAGGGCGGTTTCGCCCGAGTTGCCCGGGGGCCGCGCGCTCGCTCGTCTTCCCCGTCTGACGCCTAAGCGCGCGCGGCAAGCGAAGACGCGCGCTTTGTTAGCTTTACTGCGAGACTAGTCTAAGACTACGGCATAGGCAGTGTTCATCTCAAGCACTTCCTCGCCGTTGACCGAGGAAAAGCTGAAAGTTCTCTTCGCCTGCGCGCGTGCTTGCCGCGTTCGCGCCCTATGCAAAAGGACAACCGCCTCATCCGGGTGACAGTGGGTGAGGTCGTAGGTGGCACACACGTTCATAGCCAGACATTTACGGCAGTCCTAGTGGCGGGTTTGCCTCTCGCGCTCGCAACATCGCAGGGTCCGACTTTCCCCCCCCTTTTCCGGGAGCAAAATGTGTCTTTAACGCTCGCGCGCGCGTCGCGCTCTCGCGTCACCTCGAAGTGCTCTTGACTACGTGGTCTCACGCAACGCCACGCGCCCACGTTTGTTTACGCGGCTCGCTTTTTTTTTCACCCCCCCCCCCTCGCAGGTTTGTCGTCGATATCTTAGGCGTGTCTACGCGCGGCGCAGACGCGACGCGACGGCTATGAGGCGAGGCTAAGAGGCGCATAACTGGACGACCGTTAGACTGGAAAGTGACACTTTATCCTCGCGATTGAACGACGCACGCTTGACGTCTAGGCGCTACAGTGAAAACGCGCATTCGAAAAGATTCCGTTGCAGCTGCGGCATTTGCGAGCGGGGGGGGAGGGGTCGTTCCAGAGATCTACGCGGTCGTCTACCAATCCCGTCACGCGTGAGCGGCGGACTGTTGCGTTAGTCTTGGCTTCGTGTTGGTTGTTTCTGATCGGGCGCCGCCTTCGTCTGGTCACAAGGATCGCGAAATTATCGACGCACTTAAGCGGAAAGCGACGCCGCGCGTGCTATTTCGCGCGACCCGGATCGCGCAGTCACATTAAGTCAGGCGCGCGCCTTTACCTCGGCCCCAAGACTTCTTTTACACGCCGTTGATTCGAATATGAACAGGCGAGGAAGTCTAAGGAGTCGCAAAACAAGTTTGCTAAACTGGCGCTCTCGTCATTGGGTTTGTGTGTCGGCTAAATTGGTTGTCGCGCGCCCCAGCCATAAGTCTGCCTGTTTGGCCGCGTAGTAACGCATGTCAACTCGCGCGCGCGAGGGCCCGAAGCTACGCGCGCAACATTTCACCCGACGCGCGCTAGGGGCATTAAAAAGGAGACTTCGCTCTCTGAGGCCCGCGCGTACCAGTATTCTCCGCGCGATTCCCGGAGCACACAGACACCGTCGCACTTCGTGCCGTCCTTCCCAGAGACTTCGTCAGAAAAAAAAAAAAAGGCACATCCAGGGTTTCGACTTAACCTTGTTTTTTTTCTTTAATCTAGACACCCTAACTCATGGCTGCGTTTCGCAAACTCTGCCACAACGGTTTGTCGCGTCTGCTCGTCGCAAGTCGCGACGCGCGCTTTTGTCAAATCTGTCTGTCACAGCTGTTTGTCACGCGCGTTCATCTGTCATGTCACCCATGTCTGTCGCAGGCCGTGTCACATCTATTAGTCAGATCTGTCTGTCGTAAGATCTTTCACATCCGTCTGCCCCCCCGGCTCTGTCGCCTTCGTCTGCTAGCACCTCGTCACTTCCGCCTGTCACAGGATATGTCGGGCTTATCTGTCATAGTCTCTGTCGCTTACGCCAATCAGACCTACTCGGCGTATATTTTCGTCGCGTGTTCAGTCTGCGCGCAACGTCGACTGGGCAGAATCCGGACGTCGCTCGTCAACTAATATCCTAAATCGACCGGATACGGCGACAAAAAATGGCTCGCATCCCGGGCCGCGCTCCTCGTTGCGCGTTCGCTGGGCGACCTCTCGCATTTTTTCCCGATCGCATCGCAAAAGGATCTCCCACGCAGAGCCCTTGGACGAGTCACATAGAGCCAAGTTGCGCAGAGCCAGGTTGCGCAGAGCCAAGTTGCGCAGTGCCAATTCGCGCAGAGTCAAGTTGCACAGAGCCAAGCGGCGCGGAGTCATGTCACACAGAACCAAGTGGCGTAAAGCCACGTCGCATAGAGCAATGGGCTCAACTTTGTCTGCGTTTGTTGCAAAAGCCGTTTGTTTCCGAAAAGGCCTCAGGGGGGCTGAGGTCACACCAACAGCCAGCTTTGCTGATTGCTACTTGTAGCGCGCAACCATCCGCGGTCAAGTTCTTGGCGATAACCTTGGAACCCGCGCAATATAGTCTGCGTACACCAATTTCCAGGCGACAATCTGAAGATTTTCAATATAGTTTCAAGGATCCGCCTGATAGTTCCTAAGACTGGTGCTCGAAACACGCCAATTTAAAAAAAATGTCCCTATATAAAGAGGGCCCCTCTTCGGGGGGGGGCTAAGTTGCGGCATGCTTACACGAACGCTGAGACGACAAACGCACGCGACATCGGAAGAGGAAGGTGACTGCCGAAACGGGGCGCCCTATATGATAGGAGCGATCGGGCGCTCCTGTAGAAGAAGGTTGACTGCCGAAACGGGGCGCCCTATATAATAGGAGCGAATGGACGCTCCGGAAGAGGAAGGTTGTCTGCCCTCTCGAGGAGATTAGAAATGAGAAGAGGGGTTGTGTGACAAGACGACCAGATCTCTGACTTGCAGAGCGTCGGCCGACGCTTCGCGAGTCGGAACGACGCGTCGTCTGTTAGAGCCAGTTGATTCCCTCTCGGGCGCAGCAAAGCGCTTCGGAGAGCAGGCGCCGTTTCTTAAGCAAGAAGCGACGCCGCCCGCGCGAAGCTTCGCGGCTGCGCCGGCGAGGCGACGGCTTGTAGAGGCGCGGAAGCTG